GAGGAATCATCTTCTTAAGTGAATTTTGAGTTAAACTAAAATACTAATGCAGTTTCACCTGTATATACACAAGAGGAATGAAATAAACTTGAATTACAGACATAGCATACTTCATTTTAGGAATGTCTAATTTATGAATCTTCAACATTGCTGAAAGTGAAAAGAGGGTTTTGTAAAAAGATGTTTGAATGATACCTTGGAGAGTTGCCACTTTTCCTTGCCTTTTGCAAGGTCGTGTATTTAGTTGAATAATTTTAAACCACAGTGTTCAGAGGTGGTCACCCGTTGTTACTCCTCATTTCCTATGCTTTGTTTTGACGAAACCAACTCAAGAGGTTGGTTTTTTGTTTCTGCTTTTTCTTCCCTCTCAAAATACTAGGCATTCATTACTGTAACTGGAATCACTGAAAACTCAATTTAATTGTAGAAGGTTCCACATAAAACTATTATCTGAAAAGCAAATTCTTATGTCTAATATTGGATACCCCAAAATATGTGAATACCATAAACTTTCATTTCTGTGAGTCTCTGTTCCTCATCTGCATCCAGTTTCTGGTTTTTCTTTTGTGATAAATTATTTATATAAACTATACCTATACTGTGGTGATCATTGCCAAAGGATGAACACTAACAGCACAAGGATCAGTATTATGCTGGGTTTATCCTCATGAGTTTACAGTTTTGGTAAGTGAAACTTCTTGTCTGCTGAGACTGAATTGCCTGGTAGGTTATTTTAGTTGATTTTACACCTGTTGCAAAGTGATTTCAAACTGAAATTCTGGGTATTAAGTGACAGCATAAACCAGAGACTTGACGGTTTTGGGGTTTTTTTTAGAAACAAAAGGCTCATCTTCTGTCATCTCACTGTGATTTGAGCTAACGGAGGAGGTAATGGTTATAGGAAGCTGCCTTTGTAAGCAGACATTTGGAAGGGGAGATGCATTTCACAGATATCTTAGAGTAGATAAAGGAAGCCTAAAAAGTTCAGTTCTCCAGTTCTGGAGAATAGTTTGCTGTTAAAGATGCAGTTGCATCCCAGTCCTTTGTTTTGTCCTGGTTAACTAAATTGGTTCCTGTTCTGCTTGCTGAAGTACTGTATTCTAGGCTTTTCATCTAGGCTTCCATTTTCTGTTCAGCTGTTCAATTTGTTGGGTTTTTTTTTCCTTCCAAGTACCCATATCTCTTATTACTGCAATTAGCATCCTGATAATTTTGTCTTGTGGTCTTCTTTCTTCCTTGTTTTTGTTAATGAGGTTTGCATGTTCCTCTGTGTTAACCTAAATCCCAGAACTGGGAGCTAAAGAAGATGGGACACAGAACACCTGGATTCAAGGATTAGGGTGTCCTTTTGAATGCCTTGAGACCAATGTATCCGCTTGTTTGCGCTGTGTGTGCATACTTGTGCAGTATTAAACAGTGATATTGAGAGACTGAGCCTTGCTCTGGGCTAATGGCATCTTTTATGTTTTGCCAGATTTGTAATAATAATGTGAGCTACTTTTTCTTTTTGTCTACTGCAAAGGCATACCTGTAGCTGACCATGTCAAAGTTTGCAGGACTTTGGTGTTAAATTAAAAATGTATGCAAAGCTTTCTCTTTCCATTTAATTTATGTCTGAATCTTTTGTAAAAGTGCTCAAGTTTCTGTTGTGCCAGGTTGATAATGGTAATCTGGTATTCAGGATTTTTTATGGCGTAACTTGAAATTGCTGTGGAAGAGCTCTCACTCCAGTATTAATTACACTTAAGTTTTATTAGCTAGAGATTTATTTAGTTTGTTATCTTTTGACCTCTTACAAAAAGTGAAACTGCTTTTTATAATGTGTCTTAGTAAGCTGTTTGTATGTCTTCTAAGACAGTTGAGGGTATTTCTTTTTAACTTTAAAACTTATAAAGCGGAGGAAATTTTAAGTAATGTTTCACACTCGACTTTGATTAAAGATCGTGCTGAAGCTGAGAGGTGAATGGAAAGAGAAGTTAAAACTGCTGGTTTTGATGGCAGCTGTCTTGCAAAACCTCTGTGTAAGGTACAACTCAAATTTAGCATGACTGTACAGTTTTGAATGTCTTTAAGTTAATTTTGGAATTATTCTTCAGTGCCATTAGATTGTGAGACGTATGTAACCTTACGTTAGTATGACGAATTGCTACATATAGATTTAAGAAAATTAGTTCTTCATATTGTGTGTGTGTGTGTGTGTCTTCTGATTTCATTTCTTGCAGTAGTATCTGAAGTCCATATATCTCCTGGTGTTCTTCTGGAGCACTCTGTGCCTTCTTCCTGTGTGGTTCCTTCTGACTCATTCAGTTTATCAAGTGATAATGTGGCAACAACTGTCCAAACAGCTAACAATGTTACAAACCCAGTCCTTCTTGAAGAACAGGTAAACCCATGACTTTTGTGTTTAACTGTGTGAACTCAATGCATTACATGTCTTAGCATAGTATCTTTTCTGTGCAAGTTTAGATTGAATTGACATTTAAGAGTGATACAGGCTTTAAATTAAAAAAAAAAATTGTTTAAATCATATAACTGGAAGACACCATACTACTTGGGTATGGAGTACAAGAGAGATAAGTGTGCCGAAGAGTTATTAAAAGTTAAAGGCATACTAATAGTGATAGGCATGAAAGTAGGAAACAGTAGCAGGAAGATTATCTAGAAAAAAATTGTTGCTGCTAAAGCTATAAAAGATTATGGCTGTACATATATGTCATACTTGTGTGTTTTCTCAAGTTGTTTTAGTATTAGGGAATTAATGTTTAATCTTTACTTAAATGTATTTTTTCGATTCATTTAAATATTTTATTTTATTTCCTCTTTTTTCCCTATTATTTTAAAAGTTGATTTCTTATTTTTATTTTTGCAGTCTGACGTAGTCTTAGTTGTCTGAACTTGATCTCTCCTTGTGGCTGCAATGGTGTTTAGAACTGATATTAGCTTCTTTGAGGGGGCTGAAAATGTTTAGGTTTTAACTAAGAGATTAAGTCATAAAGGGAGGGAAAATAATTTCCACCTGGAAATTAGCACAAGAAGGCTAGATTATTGTGGATGAGAGTTAAATAGATTTAGCATTCTAAATGAATTTTTATTGCCATCGATTGCAGTGACAGCTACTTGAACAAGTTTACTGATTGTAAAGTTCCTTATTTCAGGATGCATAATAGTATATACTTGAACTAGAAAGTGCTTTTATCTTTCTTTGATCCAATCAATAATTTGGGCTAGTTTTCCACAGTCCCTTTTTTACCACTTACTTGGTTTCATATTCTTCAGGTAGACTCATCAAGTTCTAGGACTACTCATGGTGAAAATTGAATTTCATGATTAGATTAGGTTTCCATAATCTGACCATTTAAAAATATGTCTCTAGAGCTATTTAAACAACTTATACAAAATATTTGTTTTGATTAAACTGACTTAGTGGTTTTCCTTTGAGCAGTGTCTGGATGTTCACACTTCCAGAAAGACCGTGACTAGTACAACACCAGTATTTCAGTCATAGTAATGAATTAGTTACTGGTTTGTATTTGTTCCCAGCCTAATATTCTGGGGAAAGCCTATAAAAAGTGAAGAAGAGATGTGCCCACATGCAAATAATACCAAAGAAATTTTCTTCAAAATCCAGAAGTTGCTTTTTGTGGTTTTTCTTCTTGAGAGAGGGGAGTGCTTATTTTCTCTTTCTGACTTATGCTAGCCAGGATCATTTTCTTCGTTGAAAACTCCTCATCTACCTCTCTGAAAAATGTTTTGATAAGTAAATTTCTGTTGCTGGCAAGATGATCAAAATATGCTTTCATTCAGCCACAAGAGATTCCACCATTTTTAATTTTAGCTAACAGTAAAATGTGAATAACCTGTGTCCTTTCTTGTTTGAGCTAGGCCAGCATCTTTAGCTTGTGTGTTCTCTGGAAGGAGCACTTTGAATACTCTGGAATACTAAGGCTTAGGTTTATTTTTAATAACTAAAAAGTGATTTTGTTAGGTAATCTTACTGAAAATAAGAAATGCACTTAATTTCTTCTGAATGATTAGTTGTGCTAATTCCAATTGTAGGCCATGCTTCATATTTTCTCATCTGGCCCTGGTCAGCTACTGACAAATCCACAGTTCCATAAAATCTCTTTGTAATGCAGGAAATAATACAACATTAGCAAGTGTTACTAAACAGAGAAAGGGAGTTGGGAGGACGTCCTTTAACATTATTTTGGAATGGAGATGGGACTTTGCCCTTTTGGATAGGACTAAAGGAAGACGGTAGGCATAAAACTGTAATAAAATATTCTTGCACTTGTTAGAGGAGGATGTTAGGGGAACTTCTTTATTGTGTTTCCAGAGCCTCTTGAGATTTCATGTGAAAACAACTTTAACATTTGAAGTTCCAACATCACAATTTTTGGCAGTGCCAGGCTCTAATCTTGAGTAGTACTCAGAAGTCGCACATCTAGCTTATTTTTGCCTCTGACAGAAGGGGAGTTTCAAATTGTTGTTGAAAAAATGACAGCTGAAATTAATTTACCAGCTTTTTCCTTTGAAGTTCCTTTACTCTGATATTAAACAAGTTTTTGCCTTTTTAAGATGAAAAAAACCCCCAACTTTGGCTTTTGATAATTATACCACAAAATATTTTACACCTCAATTGATTTTTATACTTTTCTGAAAATACAGACTTATTATCAGTGTTTCATCTATTTTGGGTTGTGTGTTCTAGTAGCCTCTGTTTTAGTTCTTGTACTTCTATGGTTCACTGAAATAGCATTCAGTGTTGCAGACATGTCCCAATTACTCTTTTTCTCTTGGTCTAGCCTCACGATGAGATGTTTATTTTAGCACAAAATATTGTATTCTCTTTCCATGGCTACTGTTTACAGTCTGCATTGGGTGAAAACATGGAGTGGCTATTCCAAGGAAGGTTTATTTCCCTGTAAGGCTTATGCTTTGAGACTGCTGATGCAGTTTCACTTCTGTCTCTTTTCACCTCTTTTGAGTATTTTAACTTCATGGGAATCTGAGGTATCTGTGCCATCCTTCTTCTTAAAGCCTTCTCTTAAAGTATTCTTTAAAAGCAGTTGAGATCGGAAGGGTTGATTGAATCCATGTAGAATTACTAGCTACTGTTCCATTGTTGGAGCCTTCTTTTTGGCTAGCACTCCTACATATTAGAGTGTGCGTGGCCAATTTCAGAGAAGTGTGGTTTCAAAAAAGTAACCTTAGTGTTTACAGTTTTTAAGTTCTGTAATGTTATCTGGAAATGATATCTGACTTGAATGGAATGTTAAATTCCCTTTACCATTTCCTTTGCCATGTTATTTCTCGCATGAATTAGATTCAAGCAGATATTCCAGTTGCCTCTTTGAATGTAATTGAAGACAAGACTTCAGTTACACCAAGTGTTGCTGTGGTTGATGCTGAGACACAGAGAACAAATGAACCGAAGAGCCACCTTGAACAAGCTGTTGCAAACCTAGAAATCAAGCTTTGCACTGCTGAAGAAGAAAAATTGAAAATTAAAAAGGTGTGTAGGTTTTTAATGAAAATGTTTGGCCTTTATATACGATTTCAGTATAGTTGGAGCTGGCAGAGATTTACAATATATTTTTTTGTACAAATCAGCAAAATCCCAAAGAAATTCGCCAAATTTAGCCAAAATACTTTTTTTTTTTTTTTTTTTTTTTTTCTGGGGTTTTTTTTGGGGTGAATTTTGCCAAAAATATTTTTTTTTTTTTTTTTTTTTTTGTCTGGTGTCTATTTGAGGCTGAATTTTCTCAAGTTTCAGGGTGGAGGGAGAGACAAGTTTTCTCAGCATGGAGCCATGTGGTTAGAAGGTATAGTGATTCCCCCATGTTTTGAGAGTGAGTCTGTGGTCACTGAAGTTGACAGTATCTTTTGCTATCTGTGTAACACAGAACACATTTTTTTTTCTGTGAGCTCTAGTAACTAAATTCTTTATATTCTGAATATGATAGTGTATAAAGCAGGGCTATGCCTGTAGTTAGGCATCTGAGTTAGGAATAGGTCACTGAGACATGGGAGCACAATTTTAATTTCTACTATTCTCAATACTGTTCCTTGATAGCTATCAAGGTGTGCTAGGGAAGGAGGAAATGGCTTGTTGGAAATGAAAATGAGAATAAGTAACTAGAGCCAAAAATGAGGAGGTCTGGAATGGATTGATTTTGCCAGGAATTAGGTGTACAAAGAAGAGCTGGAAGGGAAGCGTGCGTACAGACTGTAAGAGGAGATAGATTTAGAACTATACTCTGAGTTGAAGAAGTGTTGCGCAATCAGTTTCTGTATCTACAGTTAAATCAAAGACTTTGAATTCTAATAACTTTTTTTATTATTTTGTCCAAAGGCAGGATTGAACTAAGCAGACCTGTTCTTTCTGTCCTTCTTATGACCCTTTCGGTTGTGCCTTTGTCTGAGTAACTGTACAGTGATCTGACAGGTCATTTGTTTCTATACTGACTTCCTGCGTGGCTGCAGAAATAGTTGTTCTTGAACAAATGAAAGGGTGCCAACAGGTTATGTATAGTAGGAATGACTTTGGTAGGAGCAACAGCTGCATTAAGAAAAAATAAAAATCTTTAGCTCATTGTATAGCAAGTAATTTTAAAGTTTATTGCCAGTGGTGTCACTCTTCCTCTCTATTCATTCGTGTTGGGCAGGCTTCTAGACTGGCTCTCTGCAAGATCACAGAATATTTAAAAATTTTATTAATTTTGGAGCCCAAGAGAGGGCTGTATGTAATAGAACTTCTACCTTTTTAGTGAAAACTGTTTTCTAAAAGTAAATTTAATATGCTGCTTTTCAAATGCAGGAAGACAAAAGAAGCTATTAAAATATGGAAATGAGTAGAGTAGGATAGAATAATTTCACTTGGAAGGGACCTACAACGATCACTTAGGGACTGACCAAAAGTTAAAGCATGTTGTTAAGGCTGTTGTTCAAATGCCTCTTAAACACTGTCAGGCTTGGGGCACTTTTCTAGGAAGCAAGTTACGATATTTGACTACACTCTTGATAAGGAAATACTTCCTAATGTCCAGTCTAAACCTTCCCTGGCTCAGCTTTGAACCATTCCTGTGCATCCTGACACTGGATGGCAGGGAGAAGAGCTCAGCACCTCTCTCTCCTCTTCCCCTCCTCAGGAAGCTGTAGAGAGCAATGAGGCCACTCCTCAGCCTCCTTTTCTCCAAAGTAGGCAGGCCCAGTGACCTTTGCTGCTTCTCGTAAGATATGCCTTCCAGGACATGGCTTTGGTTTTAAATATCTTATGCTTCTTGAAAATATTGTCTCAGTTGAAAGGCTGCAGAATTTTCTTGCACAACACTTTATCTCTGTGCATATCATGATAGCAAATGTTGTAGTCTTCAGAAGTGAAATTATTTGGTATCAATATCTGAATCTGTGTTTTCACAATTCACAAATGTTTATAACTTCACTTATTTTATTTTGTAAACTTTATAGGAATTAGAGTATTTACTTGAAAACCACAGTGTTCTAGAAATGGATTTCTTGAAGGAAAAGAAAGAAAAAGTAATTTCACATCAAGATCATTACAAGACTCTCCAGGTAATTTCTTTCTTGTAGCACCTTACTTTTTTCAAGGAAGGCTTCATATAAAGTATATTTATGTCTAACAAAGATTCTGGTAAGTATCTGCAGGCCTGCTCCAAAGCCTTTTGAATTTAAAGAATTTCTAAGATCTTTAGATCAGAGCTGACTTTTGACATTAAGGACATTATAGGTGTAAGAGCGCACTTGCATAAGTACATTATTGTAACTCTGATTGCTCTTTCTTATGATCTATTTTGTACAACAGCTGAAATGAAAAACACTTTGCACAGCAGATGTCTATTTAACAGTATGACTTGGCATGTTCTAGAGTAGCTATGGCCAATTTGTACAGTATTATCTGACCTCAGTATGGAATACTTTGTGCTGCATAATAAAAATCTGCAAAGTGTAACTAGATGCTAGACAATGGAATTAAAATTACTTCCAATGAAGAGGCGATATCATTCATTAAATACATGTAAGTCTCACATACGATAGAAATTTTTCATTGAAGTTTACAGTCTTCTTCCAGTGTTTAAAGCAGGACAAACCAAACACTGTAGACTTACAACACTTCTAAAGCTTCTTGTTGGTAGTTCAGCTTCACTAATTTTTTTCTGCTACGGATGGTTTTTAGGTATCTACTGCATTGTTTCGCTTTGTACTTAAGGGTTGCTGTAATAATTTGTAGTGAGTTCCTGGTTGCAGAACTTCCTACAGTCTATGGTCATATAATAATCTAATTTTATTATTGTTATTTTTGTATGCGTGTTACATCCTGCTTGATGAAAGAAACATTTGCTTGGCTATGTTATAAAAATGAGTTTTGCTTAAAAACCTTCTGATTTATGAAGTATACTGGCTAAAGTTACTAATCATCACAAAATTTTTACATTAGTGTTTAGTGAATTTTTTTTAAAAAATATTTTCACAATACTCTTGAAACAGAAGTATTTAAGTGGTGGAAATGTTACTGAGGCTTGTAAGTATCTGTATTTTTGAAGTCAAATACTACAGTTTTCAAGAATGACAATGAAAGGGTCATTACCTTTAACTTCGTAGAAAAACTCATATGCTTAATCTCATTGTCTACTGGATATAGCCCGAACCAAATCAAGAAGAAAAATGAGTCAGGCTTCTAAGAGCTGACAATTAAAATTACTATCATGAAACTTGAATATTGGATGCCTTCTGTTTGTACAGGTTTTAATGCCGATTTATTTTGTCTTTCTCCTTTGGCTCCTACAACAGTAGGGTCAGCACCTGTGGCCACACACTGAGTAAATCTGGCAGCTACACACTACAGATGTCTTTCACTCTAGTGTATCTTTTTCCAGTAGAAACAGCTGGTTATTAGTGCTGTTGACTTGAAGAGCTTAAAAGCAGGTTACAGTGGTGACTCTGTCATACCTTTGGGAACCCTTAGGATAAGACTTCCGACTGAACTGATTTTGACATTCTAAGCTCTAGGTGTGCATTGACTTAATTCCACTTAAGTGAAATTTCTGTGTTAGTATTTTATTATAGTACGTGGTTGTTACTGCTTTTTATGAGAACATGCATAATTTCATGCATCTTTATTTACTGATTAACTGACTTCTGGCACTTGTGAAGTAGGGAATTCTCAAAAGCTGGTGTGAAGGTAATAGAATGAGTCGGTTAGAGCTTTAACAAAGTAATATTTAGATTAGACTCTTTTTTTGTGAAGTTACTGTTCATAATTCTGAGAGAAATTTTCATTAACCTCTGTCATTTCTGTCAACTAAATCAGTAATAATTTTTTTATCTTTTTCCTATTCATTTCTGCCTCAGTCAGGAGTGACAGTTAACACAGTTTTCTTGTCACAAAATTGTTTCAATAAAATGTACTTTCAGCTTTTTTATATTAAAAAAATATTTTCAAGGATAAGGTAGAAACATAAAGCATATTACAGGTGTTTTTTCTGAGTTGGGTTAGAGTGCTGATGAAGTGAACTTTGTTATGTACTAGTCACAGACTTTCTTTGTTGTAGGTGTGTAAAAAGCCTTATCCTTAATTTAGTTGTGCTGAAAATGGAAGAATTGAAGGGGAGTGATAATCACGTTTCCTAATCAAGGGCAGCAGAATTCCAAGTCTTTGGTATAGTGTTAGTATTTAACCAATGGGTGACAATGGAGTGTTGCCATATTTATGCTTGTGTAAAAGAGAAAAGTAAAAAGTTCTCTGTTATGTCTAAATAAAATTAGCTTTAAAAAATCAAGATTGAACAGAGAGTGTAATACTTTTCCCATTCTTAATGTTGTTTCCATACGTTACTACAACAACCAGAGACAGTAAAGGGGCAGCAGTGGGTTTATAAATAAACAAACAAATTGCTATTAACTAGTAATATAGAGTTCTTTGGACATTTAATGCAACAGTCTCTTTAAGATCTTGAATTCATACAGTCTGGTGAAATTAAAGTTATGATTGCCCCATATCGTTATTTGTAGTATTTAAGAGGCAGAATAACATACTGTAATTCTAACTTCTTTGCATACAAAATGTAGCTGAGTTAAAATTGCTCTGACAAGTGTAATTTTAGTTTTAGTGACTTGCATGTGATGTTGCTACCACAAAGTTGCGTAAATGCAATGTTAGCTTTATAATTTCTTGCTTATTTAGACAAGAAGGAAACAGGTGCAAATGCATGTCTGACTTTTTTGTTGGTGTGTCAGTCTTATTTTTTGCATTTTTTTTCATTAAAGTCGTATGTATTCATCTCAACTACTGACAGCTCAGCTTGTCTCTAAATGAGGTGCTGCATATTTTCAGGGTATTTGCTGGTAGTAGATAATACATGTTTCTGACTATAATGTAGAATTAGTTGTCATTCAAATCCTACAAATCTAAAATTTTATTGCAAACTCATTGCAATATGTTGTAGAAATTAATAAATACTGCATTTTAAAATGACCACACCCCAATTTGTAATATCAGTGGAATCATAGAATCATAGAATGGCCTAGGCTGGAAGGGACCTTAGAGATCATCTAGTCCAACCTCCCTGTTGTGGGCAGGGACGCCACCTCTCGACTAGATCAGGCAACACATGGGGACCGAGTGGGAATCAAACCCGTGACCTCGGTGTTGGTCATTGTTATCAGCACCACGCTCAAACCACTGAGCTAACCGGCCCCCTAAAAATGGAAAAAACATCAATAGTGAAATGAATACTCCTGTTTAGTAAGTGATGTTCTCTTATTCACAAATCAGAGAGGGAACATTTAATTTGGGAAGGAAAATAGTGCCTGGATTCTAGCGCTCTAAGTAGGAACTTAATTCTTTGGACAGATTGTTTAGCTGATAAGACTTCCGATGTTTGGTCTATCTACAGACAACTGGTTTAGATGATTCACTACTAACTGGATCATACTTTTCCCCTGCTATTTCTTTGATTTACCACACAGTCACATTTGACGTAATACTTCATTGCTGCTGGAAAATTCCAGTTGTGGTTATACACATTTTTTCCATCATCAATCCTTTCTGGAAGTTAAGTAGGCTGTTTTTTTGAAAGAACAGTATAGTTGATGTGGTGTGATCCTTCTTTTTGAAAGCGATTCTTTCATGTGGCAGCTGACATCTATTCTTCCAACTTCACAAATCTATGGTTGTTCTGAAAGCACCAAAAATGTTTTCTTTTGAATCTTTTGTTTCTGTTCCACTGATTTTTAAGGAACGTATTTTAAAATTTTATTGAAAAAGTGACTTCAATGTGTCAATTTTTTAGGGATATTCCTGTTATTGCAAAAAGTCGTGATTAAAGATGAATTAGTTAAGTACCATAATTTCACTTTGCATTATATATTTGTGTATAAAAAAGCAGGCCAGTAGAATACCTGTTTAAATGATGCCTTAGAAATATAAGAGGAAGCTTATACTGAAGAAGACATTGACAGATTACTACATAATGATCCAAAGAAACTTCACTAGGTCATACAGTAACACCTAGCTGGGATTAAATGGTATTGTAACCTAAGTAGAGTCATTACTGGTATTAGATGTTGTTTCAGTTATTTATTTCTGTAACTGTTGCTATTTGGAGAATTTTTCATTTGAGAACCTGTGCATATGTCACATTTAAATTATAAAGCTTTGAATAATGAGGAAAAGACTTTTAAGTATAGTTAAGACAGAAACAGGTAAACTTGAGATTTTGGGCTACTTTCTTCCCTCCTAATTCTGAGGGTCCAATTTATTTTTATTCTGATTAATATTGCCTGTTAATTTGGGGGTTTTAATATATTAGACTCATATATCATACACAATCATATAAGTGTATGCATACTTGGTTGTGTCTGTCTCCTCATTTTTGGAGATGGTGCTTCAAAATCTTAAAATACTTTGTATGGTATATAAGAATTAAAACTTAATACTAGGTTCATCATACAATTTTACTTTTAAGTAGAATTGTACACAGTGATTTTGATATGCTTATTTAGAACTTAATGTGATATGAATCTCAAAAATTGCTCCTAATACATGTAAAAATTTGCTTGAAGCCTAAGGGGTTGAAAAAGCAATGTTAAATGTGGCTTATTATGATGACGCATGATTTTATGCCTGTGGATCCTTTTAAGTTTTTCCTCTTTAGTATTTAATATTGTGTCCTAACTGTTACCCTCACTACACTTTTTCATGTAGTTTCTTTCAGAATTGAATTAAGCTTTATAGTATTTCATAATATATCTAAAGATCTTTGATTTTAAATTCAAACAATATCATTGTAGTATCAATACTGATTAAATAGCTGAATAAGTAAGTACTAGCTCTAGTGGCTACATACTAAACTTGCTATAATGAAAAGAATTACTCTTGGAGAAGAGTTGATAGTTATTTTTGCGATTCCAAGAAGAAGTAAGGTAAGGAGGTACCTAATTTTGTCTTGATGATGACAAAATTAAGTTTTGCAATGGTGACGGAAGGTGTTCCAGAGCAAGGGATTTTGACTGGGGAGAAGAATAAAGCAGCTTTGGAGAGCAATGGTTTTGGG